AGGGGAATATATCTACATATATCTGAAATTGATAATTTCTGATTAAATATAAAGAAAGCAGTATATGGGTGCAAACTACTTACTTTCATTCATTGTAACAAACGTTAATGTAGTATTTTTAATCAAGTTATTTTTTACTGCAATTTCAGTGTTATAAATTAAGTCAAAAACTTAAATTATAACACAGAACATAAAATGAAGTAGAAGTGGCCCTACACTCTTTCAAAAGGAGGACCAGTGTCGCCAAACTCACATATTCGCAAATCTAATTGTCCATTGCACATTGTTATTTTCTATTCCGTGAATTATAACAATAAATTGTTCATCACTGCTATTGCCACTATGCGTCCCCACGTAAGAACGAAACCAATCGGAAAAGATACTTAGATTGTCAAACTTATATTTTTCATTCGAGCAATAATCATAAGAACAAATCTTGATTTGATCTTATGATTATTGTTCGAATGAAAAATATAAGTTATTTCAATAAAAAACTAACTAGCTGTATGTATGTTTTTTTAGAATGCGTTAGTTTTGCCCTCTATCGCCGAGTAGCATAACCAATTGTTGAGATGAGACAATGTAACTACATATATGGCCACTAGATGGCACTAGTAATAGCAGTGGCTTTTCAGAATATGCATTCTGTTCCTGAATTAAAAAATAAATAAACTGCTACCTAATAACTTCATAGGTACTCTATGAATACAATTTGAAAATATTTTATTATTCAAAATGCCAAAACCTAAGTACATTATAATCTGTGTTCGACTTGTAACTCTATGCACCAACATCCAATATGTCTTTCTGTCAAAAATTGTCTGCCGCCTGCCACATGTCATTCAATAATTATTGTGCTTTTACTATATTTTACTAAAATTTAACGCAAAGCAACCAAGGAAAATGGTAAGAATTAGTTTCAATTGACTAATTAACTTAATATACATAAAATCTGTAAAATCTTGAGATATAACAACAACAAAACCTGTAAAGAAGCAAGTTAGCATGGTGTCATGAATAATTCCATTTCAGAAACCCCTTATGCTCCAAGGGCACGAGCGTGCCATCACACAGATCAAATATAACCGTGAGGGTGATTTACTGTTCTCTGCGGCTAAAGATTCAAAGCCAAATGTATGGTGGTCTCTAAACGGAGAACGCCTCGGTACTTTCAATGGCCACGGAGGTGTAGTTTGGTGTCTTGATGTAGATTGGCAAACCATTAACCTGATCACCGGAGGAGGTGACAGTTCATGCAGGTATGTATTCCTTTGTTATGCTTTGTAGGAATAATACAATACATAATTTAGTGCCTTTTTCATATGCCATTAAACTAAACGTTCTTAGTGATGCTAAACCTTTTCTTGTAAGGATATTACTATCTGAATGTTTATTACTCAGATGATTGTTGTTCATATCCCTGAACATAAGAATTTCTATTATTTGATTATATTTTTGTCAATTGCTTGATTAGTGGAGTTATGTTTGTTACAGTACTTATAGTAAACAATAACTGGAATGTTTTAATAATGGTTTTGATTGCACAATGTGATACAATATTTACACCTTTTTCATTTTTGTTTACTTTTAAGAAAATCCAAAACTATAATATTAGTTTTACTTTAATTAAATGATAATCCTGTCAGACTTCTCTCGTAGAACTCTGCTTGTCTGTTAATATAACTGCATTACTGGTGCAGCAGTTGAGTAACCATTGCAGATTGAATTCCTGTATGGATCAGTTTTGAGAAAGCAGGATAAATGTAAAAATCACACTGTTTATTTTTATAAAAAAGAAAAACTTAAATGTTGAATTACTTTTTATCAATTAATTATTAATACCAACCCTATACTGCAATAAAGTTATATTACTAGATTATTTATTTTATAATTTCTTTTACAGACTGTGGGACTTGGAGACTGGTAAGAACATAGCCACAATAAAGACAAACTCCTCTGTGAGGACTTGCAACTTCAGCTACAGCGCTTACCAGGCCGCTTACACTACTGACAAGGCTATGGGACACCCCTGTGAGGTAAATTACTGCAACTTGACAAAACATTGTTATATTAACTCAATGAATGAGAAAGAACCTTTTCTATGTAGAAGAACTAAATAGAGATTTAGTCTTATAAATAATATTAAAATTAAGCCTAATAGCACCTGATATAATACACCTAAAATATGTTTCAATTTTGAGATTTTTTCTTAATGTTTCCCACACATCAGGTTGTTCCGGTGTCGTGGGTGTGTTTATATACATAGACAAGCCACCCAGACCTGAAACAATCATTTGTGGATCAAACAAAGTGTTCCATGCAGGAATTTAACCTGTGACATAAAGCAGCCAGTTGCCCAACCTATTTTGACTTTGACTTTGAAATGGTACAAATTCTCCTTTCAGGTATTTGTGATTGACACAAGAACTGTTGACGAGTCTATCTCAAGCCAGGCGCCTATCTTGAAGTGGGAGATCACAGACTCCAAGGTCACATCTATGGTGTGGGGTATCCTGGACGAGACCCTCATCACTGGTCATGAAGCTGGAGACATCATCCAATGGGATCTGAGGGTGGGTCTATTTTACAGCAGATACTGTGTTTATTTTTTTCCATAATAATTATTATCTTCAGCTGGAAGATGTCCACTGCTGATCATTAGCCTCCTGCCTAATTATAATGTTCATGTATAAATATGTAACAATGTATATTTTTTACGTCTTTTATGATTTTACTTTCCAGGTTCATATTATTAGATTTTTAATGTGTTTTAATTATTTTCTAGACTGGCAAGAAGATCCACTCAATTAAGGAGCACACGCACCAGATTAACGACATGCAGCTGTCCCGCGATGGCACCATGTTCATTACAGCATCCAAGGATCAGACCGCTAAGCTATTTGACACCAGCTCCTTGGAACTTCTGAAGGAATACAAAACCGAGAGGCCTGTTAACTCTGCTGCCCTCAGCCCCATCCTGGATCACGTGGTACTTGGAGGAGGTCAAGATGCTATGGAAGTAACCACCACCTCCACCCGCCAGGGTAAATTCGACGCTCGATTTTTCCACCTCGTATTTGAAGAAGAATTCGGTCGTATCAAGGGACATTTCGGTCCCATCAACAGTTTAGCATTCCACCCTGATGGCAAGAGCTTCGCGTCCGGTGGTGAAGACGGTTACGTACGTGTCCAGAGTTTCGATCAATCCTACTTCGACTATACTTTTGATTATAACAGGGATTGAGTTAATGTAAGCAGGAAGGTTTTATATTAAAATTAAAACAATATTGTAAATGTCAATAAAACTGATTTCTAATAAATGGTCCATTGGTTGTTTTATTTTTAATATTTAAGTCAACCTAATATTTCTTTCGTTCTGAATAACACAATTTCTGATCACCTCATTAACTAGTTAAGTTCCATTATCTATTCCGATCTCTCATATCGCCGACCTTATCAAGTAATAAGGACTTACCTTGATAGTTTATCCCTTCTGGAAACGTTATGCATGGTACGCTAACCAATGATGAATCATTATACAGTGTATCAGTGGTTCAGTGAATACTATATTGTAATAGTACTATAACGATATTGTCACGCCCTTGTATCCCTCAAGGGAAAGCAAAGATGATTGACAATATAAAACGGAGTACGGGAGTACCCACCCACGTCTCATGAGTCATCATGATGAACCTATTACTGTGTCCTTTCCACCATTGTAACACCAGGCAATCGGCAAATCGTCATCGCTTCATGGTAGATATTCCACCCACACACACAAATCGGTTCGCGTCTTGTTTTACTATCCGAACCGCGAAGGAATAGGTAGAATTCTTTGCCAGTGTGTTCCCTGAAGGGTATGATGACCGCGTATGAACTGGGTGTCTTCAAAGCACTCATCATCATCGCTTGCCACCAGGCGTGATAGTAGACAAACGCCTGCCTATTACTGAATAAAAAAACAGACTCTATGCTCCTACTCCGATATTTTTGAAAAGCTCAATAATTCATGCCCAACACTGGCTTTCACTTGTACACTTGGTAGTTGAATAATTGTTTCACCTGCTGCTATTATTAGTTGCAGTGTGATATTTTATAGCTTAGTAGCTACTCTCGCGCGGTGTCACTCGCTGCTCAACTCCATTTGATCGTTTTTTTTCGTGAGGGGAAAATCATCAAATGACTTCTCCCGCCCAGGGCCGGGCGGGAGGTTGTCAGACTCTTACTGACTAAAAACCCCCCTGTTCCGTCTTCTGCTCTGGGCCGAAGTCGCGGTGCCTCATTGCGCTTATCCCGCAACCCCGGCTGAACATCAGCCCTATAGGACCCCATCTGTGGTGGTCTAATGGCTCTTTGAGGCGCGCGCGGAACGCTACGCGCCGTACGCTCGGGCCTGGTTCTGGTCGGGCGGCGAGCTGCCCTTACTCGCCGACCGCAGACCCGCGCTTAAGGTGGCCGGAGATCATCTCTCGATCCCCGACGCCCAGAATGTCGCCTATTGCGGCGGCCGGGGAGTGAGGAGGAGGATTGCTCCCTCACGCGGGCCGCCTCCCTCTTTGCGAGCATAACTGCTGCACAGAAGGAGGAGACGGCGTCCCAGTTGCTCTCACTCCGCACCATGGCCTCGACTAAGGCCGGGCGCGAGAGGTCGCCGCCGTCCATTTGATCGTAGCGTGATGTTTTACAGCCTATAGCACCTCAGGAATATTGTAGCTATCTATCAGTAAAAGAATTTTGGAAATCCGACCAGTGGTTCCAAAGATTAGCCCCTACATACAATCTTACAAACTTACAAACATACTTACCTCTTTATAATATTAGTATAGATATTCTCTTCTTCATATTAAATTGACTATTCATTCAACCAGTAGTTCTAGAGAACAAAAAACAAACGAATCGCTTCAGCTTTATAACATTAGGCAGCATTTATTTGAAAGGTCATAATAAAAAGCAACAAATATTGTATGCAACAATTTATTATATAAAACATTTCATTACATTTGGGGAATACTTTCACTTAGGCTTATAAGCTATTTCACAGGAAATAAGGCGTAGTGTGCTGTGGGGGCACTTCTCTTTCACTATCAGGAACTGCTTGGAACAGTTTAGGGACTCTGTCATTTACTGTATTGAACTCTAATATGGAGGCGACGTTGCCGCAGCGATAACAGTAGTTGGGCGCTGACCATACTGTCACCAGACGTTTATCAAACATGTATTTGAAACCTGGAAGCATCAACATCAATTTTAGTGTTTTGGATATCATATTATCATAAAGTTCATATGAATTTATGAATCAGCAATTGTTATGAAAACGGGTGTTTCTTATTGGTCAATATATCATAATATGATTTAAAACAAACCTTCATTTACTAGCTGATGTGCTCTGCAGATTAAATTCAAATTGTTGTAATTCATAAAAAGCTCTGTGACATAACTACCAAACAACCATCCTGCACCTCTTGGGCTCACCGACCTGTAAGCAAAGACATGATTAGTAATAATAAAACTGTAAAGTCAAAATCATAAGTATTTAATCTAAGTTAAGCATATATTTTTGGAACATCAAAATAGAATAATAGTCTCTCAGTGTGTTCCTCAGTAAAGCCAAAGAAGCATGACATTACTAGGTATGTTGTTGACATCTTCAAACATATCAGAGCCTCATAATACTTTTCCTCATAATCCTTTTCCTCACTATACATTATTACTTTATTATAAATATGAACATGATTTTTTGTAATTTTTTGCTTTGTAATTGCAATTTTTGTATGGTTCAAGTGATGATTAAGTGATTTATTGAAATAATTAATATTTCATCATACATTCTATTGGCTTTCTTATAGTTATCTACAGTTTAATTTAGATTTCTTCTAGATTGTTTTTAGAAATAAACCTATTTGACGTTATGGGATCATTAGTTGCAATCTCATACGAAATCCATAGTAATGTCATTTCAATAAAACTATTGAAATTGACTATTAAGAAACTAACATATTGATACTAAACAAGTGTTACATATTTTGCCTTAGAATTTGCTGCATATTTCACCCATGTCACTTTCAACAAAGGCCAGGATATTATTGTATAAAAAAAAAAACTTACATACCACATGTTAACATCAGCTGGATCTGACCACAGAAGATCACAGAACGCTCCTTTGTGGGGTATTTGTTGATTTCTGTCAATACATCTAATTTGATCTAACATAGAAATGTCTGGTGACAGTCCTCCATGGACACATAAGACCGTCTCATCTATTAGCTGAAACAAATCATTTATTTATTATTAATGCATAATGTCTAATCTTCTATGTATTATTTTAATTCATCAAACCCCAGGCGAACACCAGCATTCACACCAGTATTGTTCTTCTATTGAGCCTCAAATTAACACAATTGAAAGTTTAAAGTACAATATGTTAACATGTGACAAATAGAAAGTACGAAAATACTTACAGCAGCAACTGTTAGCAAATCAAACACTCTACAGCAATCTTTCCATGCATTCGCATTCCCATATTTGTTGAGACACTCATCATAGAAGCCATATACTTTTGTAATTTGGCAAGTCTCATGATTCCCCCTTAGTAAGATTATTCTGAAAGAAAACAACAGAGATTTTGAACAATCATTACATAGTATAAAAAAAGTTCATAAAATGAACTTCAAGGAACCAGTTAATTAAATTTAGAAAAACTAGAGAGATACATTAATGTTTCAACTTTTTTTAATACAATTAAAAGTCTGGCCGTGTAACAAATGCTCCAACAGTTAATATAAAATGTAAAAACTAAAAATATTTATTACCTGTCTGGATATCTAGCTTTTAGTGCCATAAGTAGTGTGAGTGTTTCTAAGCTGTAGTAGCCGCGGTCCACATAGTCACCCATAAATATATACTTTGTGTGAGGCACCTGGCCCCCTATGTGAAATAATTCTTCTAGGTCATAAAACTGAAACATAACATTTTCACTTAGTATAAAGTGTATCTTTGTACAATTATTTTGACTAATTTCTTTTAATAAAACTTGACAAATAATATGATCTGAAATTTTGAAGAACTGAATCTATCGTAATGTATCTTATTAACACCAAAGTTTCATTAGTTGTCAAGTTAGAAAACTGACAAGTGCAACTAAGTACTAGCATGTAAACAAAGAAATAAGAAGTGAAAAGACTTAGTAGCTGATCAGATTTCAAGAGTCATTCTAGTAATAAATCATTATTATCTTGTGACTGATACCCACATTTGTATGCCTCTAATTAAGCTAATAAGCTAACTTTCCTTTTTTCTATTGGTTAGAAGATCTTCAGGACAAGCGAAGGAGGAAGGTAATTCGACAGGTTGAGTTAGATGCATCAGTTATATCGTAATTTGACGAGTTATTTCACTTTACCTGGCCATGTATATCACCGCAGACAGTTACAGGTGTCTGCACCGGTTGTACATTGGGCTCCTCCAACAACAAGTCACAAACAATATTGCAAAGCTCCCGCAAGTCATCTTCAGGTAAATATTTACACCTTTTCGCGATCTCTATCCACTTATCCACGTCACTCATTTTGTGAAATATTAGACGAAAAATAGGGAGTCGTTATTTTTTTCACTAAACAGAGCAACGATTTTTGAGATATATTGTAGTAGGGGTTCGCCAAAATGTCAGTCACAAAAGTCATACTATAATCGATTCGTGATCTCTAACTTTTATAATAAATAAGTTTTGCTACTTTGGAAATTGAAAATAATTGATAATTTATAAAGGTATTAAATTTTGTATTATTCTTTGATTAAGTGGTTCTATATTTTTCACGGTAATACTAATGTTATATTTTTTTACTGAAATCGATTAAAATGCATCGACGAAGAATCAGTATGTAGTACAACTCTAAAAAATATTGTTGTCAATCTTCTTTATTCACTTTTGACATTAACTAAACATTTACGAATTTTGTTCTAAATAATATGAAACTTTTGTGTAGAAATATTGCCACACATGTATAAATTTTTCACACGTCTGTGATCTCTGCTACTATTTTTTATGCGATACATATTGCCCTATTTTTTATATAATTTCAAAATGGTTATAGATATGTATATGGGATAAATAAATATTAATGGTAGATTATTCTTATTATGTAGTGTAAAAATAATCATTAACAACTTATCTCGCCTAGGTTCAGGGGGCGGAAGACTATCTCTAAGCTGAGTTTCAGACTAGTAGGTACTCAACTTACTGTTAACCACCAACCACCCGTAGCCACCACCACCACCTCTAGCCGAGTCTCCTTTATTTTTTGAGGAGGAAAAACCGTCATATTACTCCTATCTTCGCCTAAGCTGGGGTCAGATGGATTGGTAAACTTACTGAATAAAAACTCTTTCTGTTCCTGCTCCAGTCGCGGCACCTTGTTGCGCTTGCCCCGCAACCCCAGCTGAACATCAGCCCTGTTCACGATCACGATCAGCCACGATTCACTCTAGTAACGGGTACTTTAAAGATGTTTAAAGAAAATATCTGTGCTATATAGACCATATAGCTCGTCTTATGAGTTTTATTGTTTCTATTACTTATGTTCAATGTTAGTCATGTTGGTACAACAAAAAATAAAAGCCAAAAACTATGCTTACTTAAACAATTTATTGACGTGAAAACAAACATGCAAGTACATTTTTCGAATGTTATACATTTTGTTATTCATTAGGTTTTAAGGTGCTTCTTTTGATATGCGGCTGTGAATGGGTTAAAATAATATGATTATAAGTGTACTACTTTAACTTAACACTAAAAGCACATTAGGTGTATTGAAATACAACAGACATTTTGTAGTCAGGACGGACATTTTTTATTTGTCAGTAAGTCAAAGCAAAAATGCACTAGGCTTCGTATAATATGCACGTGATTTAAATATGTATAAAAAGTACTCGTGTACTTGTTTTCAGTTAACAACAGAGTTATGTTTTGTAGTCATAATACTATAAAGTTATTATTAAAACTAGAACCGGCTGTTTTCTTCAAATTTAATAACTCATTTTGGATTTCAAAGAAAACAAGTCCGATTTAAAATAATATCACCAAAGTGCAGAGTTGCCAAGGCATTATAAATCACAGAATGCTATTTTTGAGATACGAACCATACACTGGAAACAGATGCGTCGAATCACAAAATAATAAATAAGTACCTGTGAATGGTCCAAAAAATAAAATGTATGAAAACTACAACAAAAGTTAATGTGACATCAATCACAATACAAGCATAAAGTAAATGATTCTCGACCACCATAATACTAGCTTTTCATTCTTACAATGTATATTACTCAACAATATATTGATACATATAAGAAAGCATCTAGCAATTTCAAATTCCTTTATCTAAGTTTTGAATTTATTAACTTTTACAGGTATAAAAATTACTTAAACCCGAGAGAGTACCAAGTGATCACAGATTTTGAAAAGTCCGCTCATATCTATTAGTACAAAAGTAACCAATGTTCTGAAACGGTTTTACCTATTAGCTACATATGAATACAGATGCATGCCCATCTGTTTATTTCATTGTTTCTCTTAGGATTCGAGTGTCTCATTCTATCACAACAAATGTTAATGAGACATTCCACATGAGCACACACCTGGTTTCATTATACTATATTAACAAGATATGCTATAATAATTAATTCTTATACTAATTAACGTTTGCGGGCCAGTACTCTTCGAATAAAATTACAAATGCATAATTACTTTGGCAAATACAAAAACGGTTAAAACATACAACCTCACTAGTGACCTGTCAATGGCCCCAAAAAATAGAAATAAATAAAAATTTGAAACTCAACAACTACTATAAAAGTACTGGCGTTCAAACATTTATTTACGGGAGGTGCAGTATACGACAGCTGTGTGAAATACACTCTTTTATAGATTTTAAATAAAAGACATTTCCCCCTTTCGTCACGGTTTGACCCCCTTTGCAAGTTATTGTTTATCAAACACATAACTGATTAATGAGCGCCAGGTGCCAATTTTTGTTTAACCAAAAAGACCCTGTTACGAATATTTAGGCTAACAGTATAAAGCTTATCTACATCTAAAGTATCGTACTCCGTTATCATATAAAGGGGAAGAATAAATATATAATGAACCTATAAAAGTTCAGTAAACAATTTGTTCTACCACCAAACAAAGTTAAAATGACAATTTCTCAAAAATACTTGTATTATGCAGAATAAATAACCTGGTTATATGTAATAACGTTAAGCAACCAACTCGATTCCCTAGTAAACATTTAAATAATTAATTTAGTCTACGCTAACAAGCAACACACGTGTCAATATGTAAACTTATAGGCTATAATCTAAAGCAATAACGTCGTTATAATACCACTACCGGTTAATATTGATTCCCTGGTAATACGATATTTCTGTAGATGTGCGCCAATTATATGTACTGAGTGTACACTCGTGTTTTTACTTAAAACTAAAGGCTCACTTACTTGATACCATTTTCTTGAACATACAAGAGCAATAATTGAATTCAATAAATTAAGGCGACGTTAACATGATACCATACGTATTGTTTAGACCATGCTATTCAATTATTGCTCTAATGAACTGTACGCAACAGACAAGAAACATGCATCATGTAAATGGAGCTTAATTCGAGTGCGCCTACCAATAATAATTCATAAGCAGAGATCCAAATCAGGGTTAGGAGAAACAGTTATTTTAAATACGAAACTGTCCCATAACTACCTTGTAAGCAAAATAAAATAAAATTAACACTAAAAAACATGCAAATATATAAAACGAAAGATCTCTAAACAATCAGAATTACATTCAGATTTATATTAGAAAATATCAGTTCCGTTTATCAATCGTATCAGCCTCGGAACACAAGGTGGTAATGATTTATTGATGGACACAATTTCATTGTAAATACTGAGGTAAAAGGTCGTTTTCGATTGAGATTACGACCTTGTGGTCGTTATAAAATTGACAAACTTCGAAGCTTTTTTTTTGGGTTATTAATCAGCAGCAATCACTTGAACTGGCCAAGCACAAAGGCGTCGAGGATTTTGGGAACGTGCTCGTCGATACCGACGATGTCAAGGACTCCTTCGTGAGTACCATCAGTCGTACACACTTTATGAGACGCCAGGCTCATCACTACCAACCTGGAAGAGAGATTATTATTATTAAAATTACCATACGTAATATAATTATCTTGAGATATATTGCAGGAAACATATATTTGTGCGATCTACTTTCAATTCTTATGTAACCTCACTCAGGAGGATGTTGGTTTGTCATAAAATATGATTCGCATAAATAAAACTTGCTCGGAGGGATGAATGTGCTTGACAAAGATGTTGACAATTTTATATAACATGCTTCTTACTTTGCGTCAAGAATTTCCTCAGAGGTACGGTATCGCTGCAGAGCTCGTACGGGGCAGTGGTCGGGTATCTCCTTGGTGGGTGGCGGCGGCGGACCGTAGCGACCGCCGGGCCCGCGCCCCCCGCGGCTGTTGATATCTAACTCCATGTAGCGCGTGGTACGATCCACCATGTTGATGAATACATCGTATTTCTTGTGGTTCTTCATTGCGTAGTTGATTGGTGCATCTAGCTGTACACGTCCTAAGTTCGCGTTCTGCAAGAAATCGGTTTTTATTAGATTAAACTTGTTTCGGTGTCATCATTCACATTACAAATTATCATATCAGCAGCCTTTAAGTGCTCACTTTTGGTTGGTTTCGTTCTTATGTTACTGTTAGCCTTTGTGATATATTTTGGATAGACAAACCACACTGTCAGATAATCCGTCTGTTAGCGTAACAGGCACTTGGTCAAATCTGATCCAAAATGAAGCGTAAGAACCAGATCATTGTGACTGATCATTGATTTCATGTATCATGCTCTACTCACCCTAAACAGGAACTCGGCTTCCTCCATATTACTAAAATTCCGTTCAACACTGACTATCTGTATTCCCTCCTCAGTGAAAACGGCCAAATCAACGTGGTTCTCTCGCTTCAACAGTTGCAGTGCCAGGACAATGGCTAGAAAAAAAAGTAAAATTATTTATTTTCATCTACGGATTTTCGTGCCTCCAAAAATTATTTGTGTATTAAACAGCATCAGTTTTTTTTTTGGTATTTACACTATTAAAAAAAATGTATCGAATAAATGTTTATGCAAGCATATAGGAAGGGGAAGAGCTTTGCATACTTTTGATAAACAGGGAGACTGAGAATTTTAATTTATTAAACGCCTTACGTAATACTTTTGTGGCTCCAAAGTCAGTTAAAGATGTGACGCAATTATAAACAGTTTGATTATAAATGTTTTTTTTTGTTTTTTAGAAACGTTGGGATTTTCTCCTGTGTCGTGGGTTTGAAACAATAATGTGTACATACCTGCATGTCCAGGTGTTACATTAACGTTGTAAAAGCACTCGGCAAGGAGATGCTTCTTACTCTTCTTCTCAGTATCGGCATCCCCGCCACCAGCAGGTGGCGCTGGTTTCGCTGCTGCCTTCTTACCCTTCTTCGCTGGGACCGTGAATGTCTTGCAGAAGTGACGACCTGATTAAAACATATTTGTTTATTACATTATTGTCTGCAATAGACTACAATACCGCCAACGTATCTTGGCTAGTCTGAAGTTAGCCGATTAGCTGCGTAATGCACAATTTTGTTCCTAAACGATCCATTGCGCAGACAAACGGCTAACTTCAGACTTGCCAAGATACGTCAGCCGTACTGTAGAAATTCTTCTCGAAATTTTAATTCCATTCCAGATTTGACAATTTCAGTGTTGCAACGTTATGACACGTGCTAAATAGTGACGTAGTCGATTCAGAAATATTATAAATTTATTCTTTTATAAATCTCTTTTATAAATTTATTCTTTATAAATTTTAAAAATAAATTTTCTTTATTTAAAAAAAAAAATTTATAAATCTCTTTTATAAATTTATTCTCGTAAACTAAGTTTATCAGGAAATAAAATATTTGTGAACCGATAATTTAGTTTTGACAATTAATTAATGATCTGAGACTTTTCTTTTGTAATTGTGTGTGAATTTAATAAAAAATGTGATCATGAAGGAACATGACAAATAAAACAGACATTATATAAATTGTCGCCGTCATCGCTATCGCTATCGCTGTTACTTTCTGTAACATTTATTATGAATTGTGTCTGTGATATTTATTGTCAATTAACATATCTAGCTTACTCATGTTTTCCTCTTCTTGGCAACATGGGATACGTATTTAGACCATTCGGTAGTCGTAATTTTTTGAATGCCTTCCTGAAACTATTTCACTGATTGTTTATAGATTTTTGTGTTCATCACTACACTGTTATATGTGGTATCATTATTTCACAAAATTACAGTAGGTCATGTCAAATCAGGAATCGAATTAAAATTCTATATAAGACTATAGAATTGACATTAACAACATTTCACTGAATAAGTTAAAAATGTCGGTGGCAGAGACACGTGGTGACGACAGGGTCGTGTAAATTGTATGATCAATATTGTCGGTTCTTTACTGTTGTCAATGTTTATTATATTATTGGTAGATTATTTCTTTTCAATAATTAAGTTGCTTATATATGAATGCTGGAGAACCTTTAATAAGCATGTTTATTAAGTCTTTGGTTGTTATATTTATTACTAGTCTAAATGTAGTACATAATATATAGGCTACTACAGCTGTTGGTATACAAATAAATAAATACAGTATTCAACTATAGTGGTGTTCTATACCGATCTGTTTTGAGACTGCCAATCAAGTTTCTTCTACATAATATAAGATAAACCGTAAGCATACTTGGTCAAGTATCTAATCTATAAAAACCTACTTCATATTGAAGAGGCAGTAAATACTAACTTTCTTTAATCAAGTTGAGAGAAAAAAAGTTAAATTAATCAATATACCTTTGAACATGTGGTGTCTCATGTCCATAGTAATCAAGTAGCGAGCGTTAATAGGCGGGGTTAGGGCCCAGGTGAGATCAACTAGCTTGTTCAGAGCTGTCAACACCGCTGGATTTGGTGGCTGGTCGATACCTGTGGAAATAAAGCAGTCTGATAACATATAAGAAGGGCAGAGGTAGGATCTTAGAAAGGATAGATATGCTGTATACTAACTGCAGTGTTAACTGCATGGCCGAAACCAAGAACCATTATAAATTAGACCTGGAACATTCTGTGTGAGTAACAAAAAATAGTTTTTGAGTTTTTTATTCTTATGATACAGATTTCATTACAAACTACAGATAAGGGAGAAGCCTCATGTGCAATTAAAATTGTGTTCTTTTCTTTACTTATTAGGTATATTATTGTTTTTAATTATACTGACCCCAATTCTTCGCCTCTCTCGGGTGACGCTTGGTAGTGATCCAGACCCAGGTATCCGTTTCTGTGTCGAAAATTTGCCGGGTGCGGCGTCTAGCTTCCCTTTCCAACGCCACCTTTGCTTTCTCGTACTTCATCGGTCTGTTTAAAAAAAATAGAATATTCGTAACACTTTTAATGTATGAAGAAAAGACATAACTATGGTATAAGACATGACAAAATGTTCAATAATAGATTCAGTAAACAGATTCTACTCATATCTACTGCCAGTAATTTGAGAATTATGTAGTTGAGTGACATAAATTATCGCTAAGTACTATTATAAAAATAATACTGAAAGTCTTAAACAAGTCAATAAGTATGACTTCTTCTATATTTCGCATAGGGATGTTGCCTCTTCGTTTCTTTTGCTTTTTTAATTTATTGATTTGAATTACGTGTCTCATCTTGACTGCATGGTTGATACAACGTGTCGCAGTTTCGACACCTAACGGAACAGCTGTGTCGTCCAAAAATTGTTGTCCGGTCTGGGTAGAGAAAATTTTTGTTTTTCCATAAAGAAAATGTACTACTTACATTGTATATTTAAACATAAACCTTTGTTTATAAATATTTTATACATAAACCTATACTACATATATTTTGTACATAAACCTTTGTTCTTTGTTTATAATTTTTGATTCATTGTGCCAGGTGCCAAATAACTCCTTTTCTTTCTGTATATTATCTTATCTACTTAGACAAGCTGTAACTACCAATAGATGAACTTACTTTGATTTCTTTGAATAATTCGCCATTGTAATGTAGACCTCCAAAGCGGTCACTTTGGACTTCTTTATTTTGTCCTTGTTGCTCAGTAGAGATACCAGGATTGAGGTGGTGGTAGAATCGTTATCCAAGAAGCCCATATTGTGGATGCGTTGAATATTGTGAAGTAATTCCTCCAAGCTGAACTCCGGCAACACTGCATCCCAAACCTATCACAATAGTTTTAATTTAGTGTATGCTTGAATAAAAAAAAAATATTTAGTTGTCCCTATTATATTGGATTGTTTTCAGCCTGTAATTCGGAATCCGAAAATGTAACATATATGAAAAAAATTACAGTTTCAAGTGACAATGCAACTCAGCCACCAAGACAAACAACTGGGTATGCGATGTCGCTTCGCACGCTGCTCATGAATAATTTAGTGTCTACTGGCCTAAACTAGAAAAGTTTTATCAAATAGTTCACATGACATCTGTTATTTTTAATTTATTTAGTCTTTTTTTTCTGTTAACTTCCCAAAACCGCTGCAACTCCTGTAGCCAGGATCTACAATAGATTCGACCAAGACAACACCCGAACACTGAAGTCCGACGCTTCCCAGGGACATGAATGACTGATTAGGATCCCGCAACGAAATAAATCAGAATATATTATTTGAGGAGGAGAAAAAACGAAATAGTTTTAACTTCCCTCGATAAATTTGATGCAGGAGACAGAATGACTTAGGCCTTAAAGGCACAGAAGAGACTGTACAACTGGGGGAAGCCCAGTCACCAAACACCATGGATTTTTTGTTAGCCGGTCTGACTTTTAAATGTATTTGATAGTTATAAAAGCAACAATACATACATAACAAAATGGAATATTATTCTATCTTTGCCTTGTAACACTACATAGTAACATACCTCCTGGGAAGTCAACAAATGACCAGGTACATGATCAAGTGTAAATTGGTTCTGAGTTGCGATCGCCGCGGCAGCCAAGGGATCTTCGCAATGTCTAAAATCTTCGACCTTCTGAATATAATTAAAGATAGCCTTAGCTTCTTCCTTATCACCAACTATCTGTTTGGCGTGCTTGAGGCCATAGATGGCGTACTTCACAACAGCATCGCGAGCTGTAAACAAAAAAGAAAGACATTTTAGTTCTGCTTTCATTTATTGTCAAAATCAACTAAGTATTGTTAGTAGAGGGTTCAATATTTTAAAAAATAGGTGATTCGCATCGCGAATGCGCAAATGAAAGGTACAACACCTATTTCTAAAAAATCACGTTGATGTACCTACGCTAATGACAACATAACAACAGAATCATCATCATCATCAGCCGGAAAACGTCCACTGCTGGACAAAGGCCTCCCATTAGCCTTCCACGTCGAACGACAAGTTGCCACTTGCATCCATTGAATAAAATAAATAATATGATGGGGCTAAAGTTAGCAAAAGAAATACCGAATTCGCTAATATTTGAACTATTCAAATATATTGACTCATATATTTAATTTAAACTATTAACAGACTCACACAGCAGCCTGCTAGTTTATACACATTGGATATGGAACTCTAAAAAATAATAGGGGTATGTGTGTGTGTTATTCATAACGGCGCACGTGCAAGACTCAGTACTAATACCAAGGTCAGAAGCTAGCACACAACAAATAGGCCACCCTAAGAAAAAACGTGTTTAACTGAATAATATAGACTTATCCTTCAATTTTAACAATGGAAACACAACAATCAGTGATTCTCGCTATATGTATGTATGCATGACACCATTTTTGGCTTAAAATGTGTTATAGTAAATAAGATTTTTAAAGAAGACATTTTAATCCTGGGGATGGCATTCTGAGTTCCACAATTAATCCACGCCACTTATCCACTTACTTAGCTTATTGCCATAAGCCAAGATCCGAGTCAAAAACAAAAAAAAAATACATAAAACAAACTTTTTTTTTTATAAAATTTTTGGTAATTTAAAAAGCTTGATTTTTGGTAATTTTTAAAACTGACTACATGGTTGGTGCGATGGTTGGGCAACTGGCTGCCGTATAACGTGTCGCGGGTTCGATTCCTGCACGGGTCAACACTTTGTGCGATCCACAAATTGTTGTTTCAGGTCTGGGTGTCAGGTATATGTCAAATTAAGTGTTTCTAAACGCATTCACCACACAGGAGAAAATCCTAGTGTAGGGTCATGTTTTTTTTTAAATATAATACTTGAAACAAATTACGTAGTAATAATCTGATACCACATTGAAATAAACACTCATGTTTGAAATACCACATTGTTAAAAAAAATGTCTAAAAGAAAAAAAAGTATGTTGCCTAATCGAGATCTCTTGCTCAGCAGTCACAGCTATAACTAGTCTACCAACAAGCAATGTAATTCTAAAATCATAACTTACCATAATCATCAGCTGCAACCTTGAGGTGAGATTTTCTGAGAAGAGTTTTATGAGACCGTCCATGGCGAGCGCGAACTCTCGTTACATCCTTCGCAAGTTGCATAGCATCTTTGCTGTTGTACCACTCCTTCACGGTACGACACCAACCTCGGCCATTACCTTTAGACATTAAATTATTATTAGAAATGTATTATGCTATAGGTAGTTTATGTGAAATTACATGTCGTCATACTAAAACTATGATAACTTGCTTTTAGATTAGAGAAAAACTATATTACTTCCTATCCCTGTTCCATATTGTGTTGCTCTAATTATAGTGTTTGTTTCGTTTGAAGTTTTGATGTTGCTTTCACATATGTTTTGTTGTTTACATATGTTCTATATTAAAGGTTTAGTGGTAAGTCAATTTAGTCTTGTTTTTGTCTATGGTCTATGTGCAAAGTGAGTAGTGGCAGACGCGGCGGCGCACAACACGGAAGAAATTGCGCGTCGCCACCGTCGTGCACATCTATACTAATATTATAAAGTGGTAAAATTTGTAAGTTTGTATGTAGGGGGTAATCTTTGGAACCATTACCAACCGTGAAAGAATTTTGGCAAAACAACCAGCGTGCTGGTTTTATTGTTAAAATTCTTTCACTGATAGATAGCTTTAATTTTCCTGAGTGCTATAAAACATATAATTATATAGGCTTTAAAACATCACGCTACGATTTCATGGAGCCGAGCAGCGGGTGAAGTCGCGCAAGAGTAGCTAGTAGTCAATAAAGCTTGAAGAATAATACATGCTTTGTTTGTCTTTCAAAGTTGTACAATAATTTACCCTATCAATCATGGGTATTTGAGACACCATAAAAGAACAATAGGTGTATGTATGCTGGTGTTTGCTTGGGGTTAGATGAATTAGGACAAATGTATATATTATGCATATAAAACACTGTAACAACTACTGGTAGATCTAAATCAATAAATAAATAGTGAATTAGGTATTTAAGAATAAAGTTTTATTTTATCAAAGAATAAACATCTTACCAGTCTTCAAAAGTCGTGTAAACTTAGTGAAGAGCATCATTTGCTCAGGAGTGACACATATTTTCATTGCAGCTTTGTAGGCAGCTTCTTTCATACTGCTGTTGCCCACTTGGAGACATTTAGCCAAAGCAAAGGCAATTGTGTCAAACCGTGTGTAATAACCATCCTGGCAAGCCTAAAAGCAATAAATTTGTCTGCTCAGAAATTGTGTTGCATGAAATGTGAAATTTATAAATAATGCATAAAATCCAGACCAACTCACAGTAATTATCATTGTCAAAAATATTAATGTGTTTTGACCTGATTGAAAAATGTTAAATTTGTTACAAACAACACAACAAAAATATAATATTTTTGTTCTTTTCTAAAAACCCATCAATGCATAATCTAAACATATGCAGTAATGAGTTTATAACTTGACTTTGTATTTAGTCTCATTTTTCTTTAAAAATGAAGGTATTTTTAGACCTACGGTAGTAAAGTTGTATGATAATAACATCTAGAACTATTAAAAAGTTACAAAAAAGTCTACACAAAGAGTGTACCTACATTAACATATTTAACTAATATATTTTATATAGAATACTAATAGAAAACCTGATTTATGAAAACTGACACACTTTTACAATACTTTTACTATTCAGTATAATATACCCAGGAGAACCCCAACAAAGAAAAAGACCACATGGCTATTGTAAACAACTTTAACAATAACCACTACTGATTGACATTTTTTTTCAAATATGTTGGGCAGCAAATGTTCCTTAAATTTCCTTGTACCCTATTGTCACTATTCACAAAAAAAACATGCTAAAATAGTTTGAAAACAAATTATTATTTGAACTTTCATCAAAAGTATCATTATCACATTTGCATACATATAAAAAAACACAAACACTACAAAAGAAATAAATTATCATCTCTGGAAATATAAAATAAAAATTACCTTAAGGATGATATCAACAGCTTCTGTATTCCCGGGGTGTATTTCTGTTATCTGGGGGAGAACAGGGAGTTTGTCCTCGTCGAAGTACTTATGAGTGGTCCAGCACCCAGGATAGTACCTAGGGAACTCATTACCAGTGTGGAGGTACCGGGTTAGCCGGTTAGTTAACTCTGGCTCAAGTGTCGGTTCACCCATTATGACTTGTACCGATTAAAAATTAATCGAATCAAGTAACTTTTCAAAATCCAAAATATTGCAAGTACTATGCAAAATACAATGTCGCATCAGCGTCCAGACATTAACCGAAGCTGACTTGCAGGCGAAACCTGAGAAAGATACAATGACTAAAGGTAAATGCACTGAATGTTGAAACTATTAATTTTTTGTCGGTATTCGAGCGAAACATGTGCCACAATAAATTGAGGATGTGGCTAGAAAAAATGGACAATGGAGGTTGAATCTAATGCTAGAGCGTAGAACAATATTTAATTGCGAAATATAATAGAAAATATTTCACATTAATTAATTGATTATGAATAATTAATAACACCAAACACTCTTAAAGCAAGAAAATCTTGAAAAACTAAAAATTGTTAAAAATACCTGTCTCTCCCCTTGTATGTTAAAATTGACAAATCAAATCAAGTCATTGACACATTTGTTTGGTTTTTATGTACAGTTTTAAACAGTAACTAAAACCTGGTCTTTTTAGTTAACTATGTTATTGACAACAAAGTTACAGCCAGCCAGATTTTTCAGATTTCATTATACACTGTACTGTACATAATATTTATTTATTATATAGTTCATAATACTCGAAAATATAGTTCATAATACTCGAAAAATATTGTAAAGTATTTATTTATTTAGTTTAATTTACGCCGTATGTATGTAAATATAATACCAAACTGAATAATTTGTAGCCATGTTTGTAGCTTAATACAAAAACGAATATTATGGCCCAACGTTTTGTTAAAAAAAAAAAGACATTGACAACACAAAATAACATTCAAGGTCGCTAGTTGTCAATTTGTCATTGTCATTGTTTAATTGTTGTGTGTTGTGTTTGGATTATTTGTTACTTGTTATTAGAGAATTGCAATACAAAATAAACTAGGTACCTAAACATTGTACCCGTGAAAACCAAAGTTAAGCTAGCCTTTTATTTTAGCACTAAACTACCTACTACTACTAATAATACGACTTCAAAAGTCTACATGAGCTTGCATTTGGAAGAAGCAAACGAAACACAACAACTTATGCAGAATGAGGCTGAAGAAGATGAGCAGAAACTGCCCCGTGCAGCAACATCTCCTGTTACAAGCAATAAATTGTCGAGTGGCGCCGCTAGTCTTACATCAAAGAATCTGGGCCAAACAGTGTCTGGTGTGGGCAACAGCAGTGTAAACGAGTCAACAAAAATATCATACGTCAGTGAGAAACAAAATCGAATAAATCGAGACAATAACATGATGCGATCCACTAATAAACCAAAGAACATTCCAAAAGAAACACCAGATGTCAAAAATATGGAAAAAGCCCTTTTAGAATTGTTAGATGATTTTCACACTGGAAAATTGAGCGCCTTTGGTACAGGTTGTAGTATGGAACAAATGATAAATATTAGAGATCAACAGGAACACTTGGCACGTTTGCATTTTCGTTTATGTGCTGATGTTGAGAAGCCCACTGAAGATAGCTTTGAAAATTCTGCATCCCGGGATAAAATGGCTCAGCTAGTTCAGAGCCTTGAACAACTTTCTGCATCTATAGAACACTTACATTCTGATGTTAATGGAACTGAGAAAACAACATAAAAACTGTACCCGCATGTTATGGATATTTATAATTGTAAGCAAATTAATTAATAATTTTGTTCAGACTCAGTTATGTTTCATTGTCAAATAAATGTTTCTATAAATTGTGTCATGTGTACTTATTCACACATACAGAAGCCTTGAACTGTAGGTTGTTAGTAGTTTGGGAGCTCAAGAACCACTGTTTCTTGATTTTTCTATGATGTATTCTTTAAATTTATTTAATTAGGAAAAAAACATTATTGTTTGAGTAGAAAATGGAATGTAATTTTGTAGACATCCATGATAAACTGGTACTACAGGAAATAAACAGTTATAGTAGGAGAATTAAAACTCTCTTCTAGCATTACTTTCTTTATAGTTATTTGTGGGTGTAAAATAGGTATTAATTAGTACCTAAGTTTTTTTTATTTATATATTTGTAGCAATTTTGCAAGTACATATTTTTAGGAAGACAAATTTTTTTTTTAACTAGTCTTATTGGGGAAGGTGTAGTAATAATGAATAATGCTTATTGAGGAAAAATATAGAGACAGCTTTTTTAATAAGTATTTTTACTGCTCTAACTGCCAATAAAGTTTGATTTTTCAAATAAAAGCATATTAAGGTTTCTTCCCGTTTTTAGTAGTGAAGTCTGGAGTTGTGCTTAGTAATTAGTTACTGAGTATGTTATATGATATTGGTGTCAACCAACTAGCATTTGATGGTTGGATTGGGGTTGGTGTTCTTAGTAATTAACAGACTAACTGTTATAAATCAAAAGGGATTTTAATACAAATGTCGTTTTTTTATTTATAGAAAGAGTATGGGATAGTTATTTCATTCAATATAAAAAAAATAGATCATCAAGTATTCTAAAATCGGGCCTGCGGTCGGCGAGTAAGGGCAGCTCGCCGCCCGACCAGAACCAGGCCCGAGCGTACGGCGCGTAGCGTTCCGCGCGCGCCTCAAAGAGCCAATAGACCACCACAGACGGGGCCCTAAAGGGCTGATGTTCAGCCGGGGCTGCGGGGTAAGCGCAATAAGGTACCGCGACCTCGGCACAGAGCAGGAGAAGGAACAGGGGGGTTTTTAGTCAGTAAGAGTCTGACACTCCCTCCTGCCCGGCCCTGGGCGGGAGAAGTCATTTGATGATTTTCCCCTCACAAAAAAAAAAAAAGTATTCTAAAATCATATCTATTTAAAACATATAAAATAAATTTAACAATTTGGCATTATCCTGTGCAAGAATATTATTATAATACAGTAACATATCAAAATTAACAACGAAGTTCCTAGATATAAACATTGTACAATAATAATATTATTGAAGATTGAGTGATGTAATAATATTTGTTTAACATGTATTTTTTAATTTACATCTACTAAGAGTACTTTGATAATTAAACAATTAAGTGGGATTATTACTGATATACATATTAAATGGTAATCAGAGTGAATAAAGCCTGCATTCTTTTGATTAAAAATGTTACTACTGTTTGTTCATGAATACTTAGCATTACTTAAACCATTTTGTTTGACTTATTAAACAAAATGATTTAAGTAGGTAGTCAGCAAACAAACATTCCAATTACCTGGGGGTAAGCAATTGGCCGCCTAAGGACACCCGCAACACCAAAGTAGTAACGAGTGCGTTGCCGACCTTTCCGAAGAATGGCAAAGTACAATTAGATCCAACAATTGCTTAAAAATATTACAAAAATAGCATGTTCTACACGCTATTATTTGTTGATTTAAGTCACTCATACATTTACATAGCCTTATTGGCTGATGGCTAACATTCTTTATAAACAGATACACCCAAAAACAATAAATTTTGTTTTTTTTTTCATCAGATCTAATGAAGATGGCGTGCGCTATAGAAATGTTAGTGATAAATTTTTATAAAATAAAATCATAGGCCAGGTACCGTAAATTCAGGCACTTGTATACATATAATTATTTAAAAATCACTTGGTATTCATGTCAATTTGAAAAGACATCATTTGGTATTAAATGCAAATTGTTTGAAACAGAATTTCAATGAATGAGTAAAATGCTTAAACTTATAAACATAAACAATACTCCACATACTCTTAACTTCCTCTATTAACAATTTTAAGGCCAGGGCCTAGATCACAATGTCTGTATAATTACTACATACAGGGAATAAGGAATGTAATTTGTACAAACTGTGCACTCCATTGGTTTATCAGCTACTTACTATCTTACACTATATATTTGCAAAAATGTATACATGTAGATGGCACTGTCAATTAGTATATGACTAGTAAGATGAAATGTAATCTTAAAAACTTTACACAAGCTATATCAACCTTTCAATTGTGTTATTAGAGACACAATATGCGCACAAACGCCTGCATTTGCTTTGGGTTTGATCAATGAAAATGTTATATTTCAAATAAGATTTAAAGAATATAAAAAATCAAACCATAGGCAAAGTAAATACATATTTACAAATACAATAGATGGTATCCTCCATTTGGACCTTTTAGAGCTTTTCGACATGTAGGACATTTTTTTCCATTTTGTCTAATAGCTGTTTTTATACAATTCACACAGAAAACATGACCACATAATGTAGAAGCAATCCCATTAGACGCAAGCGAGTCCAAACAAATTGGACAATCTCCTAAACTTCTTTTTGGTTCTGGTGATGGTGGTCGAGGGGTGCTGGTGGTTTGGGGAGGTGGCCTGCTAACTTCAGGAGGAGGTCTCTGCCTGTTTTCTTCAATTTGTAGATTGTTGGTTGCTGTTTGACTATTTACTGTGCTTATTTGACTGCTGTTATTTGCACCTGGTACTGAATTAAAAAATGATTCAAGTAACCTTTCCAAATGTTTAGTGTTAACAGGCCTTACATTTGTACTGTTTCGTGCTCTGTGTTTAAAGAAATCATCAAGTATGTTTTTAAATACAGAATCCTGTGACTGTGGTAGAGGAACTTCTTCAATAACGTCGACTTGTTCTGACAATGTTTGTTGATTTTGCCTATTCTGTTGACTGCGATCAGTTACTGTTTGAGGACTTGGGCAGTCTACTAGCACAATGCTGTCATTTTGATCAATCTGGGAATTTGATGGATTATTATTTGTGGGGTTAGTGATAGTAGTTGATGTTGGCATTCTTGTATTACTAGAATCGTCAGGAACTTCAATTACTGTAGTTATTTTGTTAAATTCTTTTGTTTTATTTTTCCATTTTTCAAGTATACTTTTATTTTCATTTATTATTTCATCTACATCAATACAACTGTCATACTTTTCATTGTTAAGTGTGAATTCATTTATGGAGCTATACTCATCTTCAATAATTATGGTTTCTCTTGAATCCTCATTTATAGTTTCATTTGTAATAACTATGCAATCTTCATCATTGGTCAAATTACTTGTTGTTTGTTTAGGGTTGGGAGGAACTTTGTTGCCCTGTGGCTCCATTATTTGGATTAAATCAATTTCTTCCACTTCATTTATGATAGTTTTTTGTGAAAAACTATCACTATAGTCATCAATTTCAATGGTGTCATAGGGTACATCAATAATTTCTACTTCATTTTCATTTTGAGAGGATTGCTCTGTTGCAGTAGTTTCCTCTAATTTTACATTGTGCATTGGCTTTTGTTCCTGTTCATGTTCAGTGGCCTTTTCTTTATGAGGGGAACATTGTTCCATTGCTTCAATACCCTTCAAACTTTCATTAAATCGCTCATCATTTTTAATAAAAGTTTCCCTGTCTCTAGAAGTACTTGGAATTGGTGAAAAAGGCCGTGGCTTTGGAGGTTGATATGGTGTAAAATCATATTCTATTGTTTTATTACTATCTGAACTACAATCACTAACATTACCTGATTCATTTTCAGTCAATTTTTTAGAAATTTCATCACTGAGTGCGTTGAATGTAGATTTTGAGTAATTTTTAATCCGTGACTTTTTAGCCCTCTTCTGTTTTGGTTCCTCATCTTCTGGATCAGCACCTGAAGAAGATATGCCATAGTCACTATCACCTTTACAAAACTTTGTGCTTGCTCTGCTTGGCACTTGTGGTCGGTCTTTGCAACCAACAATATATGGAACTTCAGGTTTCTTTCTTTTTTTTGGTGGTATTATTGGGGGTGGCCTTGAATCAATTGGTTCTAAGTCTAAAACTGAAAGCAGTTCACTAGGATCAGAAATATTTTCTATCAACTTCTCCATCTTCTGGGATATTTCTTTTACAAGTGAAAGTGATATTTGGTTTGGTTTATTGTCATTATCTGATAATAGCTTATCTGGTGTTGCTGGTGTACACAAATTTTGATTAGCATTAGTTGTATTATTGTTTTGATTGTTGGTATCATTATCATCATCAGAATCATTAAACATTTGTTTCAGTACGGATGATGGAGGTAAAGGCTTACCATTGAGGTGAATCCGTTCTTGTTTTGATCTTCTGGCACGGGGTTTACTTTTTTTTTGTAACAATAGTTTAGATTTGGCAATGCCGTCATCTGGTTCACTTTTTATAACCCGGTCTTTATTTTTCGGAACATTTTCTTTCTGTTCTGATGATGTTTTACTTATAGATTTGCTCGCCTTGCGTTTTTTTTTGTTCTTCTTATTTTCGGAAGTATCCATTTTTCAACATACACTGGAAATATACTTGCCTCCTTGGAAATTTTAAACAAAATGCACTTTTGAAAAACTTTAGTCCTAATACTGATAAAGTGTCAACATTTCAAACAAACAGCAACATTGATTGGGTAGCTATCCAAAAACCAAAATAAAATATATAAAATGCAACTGTCAAGAACTTGAGTGAGAGCACTTGTCAGTGGTAGCAATTTTGAGACAGGCCTGTGACACTGTTAGTTCCACAGTTACCGTAGTGCGCTGGTGTACCGATCGCCATCTTGGTCGCCATATTGCTATACCTACGTGACGTCATCGTCACGACAATCGGCCATACTGTCACTACTGTCAGTCAGTTATGCGTGTTAATTTTGAGTGCAACTGCCGGTTTTATTTTGTGTATTCCTCGCTTTTCAGCTTGAGTTGAGTTACAAATAATCCCTTACGTTCCTTGATATTCACGTATTGACTGATCCGTAGTTTTTTCGCCATGGACGTGCGAAAGTGTTGTGTCGGTAACTGCTCGTCTACGAATCGTACTCATCGCCTTTTCCTTCTTCCAAAGGACGATAATTTGAGAGAATTGTGGCTATCATTCTTGATTCCAACCAACATAGAGCTCACTGGTCTGTCTAAGCATCAGTTATTGACTAAACGTGTTTGCCAAAATCATTTTGATCGTTATCAATTTGATAGCATGGGCAACCGCCTTCGCCACGGCTACCCTTGCTTGTTTTCTGATAAAGAAATATCTTTTGGAATTCCACTGAGTTCAACTGGTAAGTACCTATATGTATATGTTCATTCCATTTCTGGTATTAGTTTTCCTACATTACATTTCTGATCAGTGCTTGTTTTATTCCAGTTGGTGACCATTTAAGTGATCACAATTACTTTTTATCTGCTGCACCTGAGAGCCACACTGTAAGGGGTTCATACATTGAAGGTTGGTATCTTGTTATTTATATTTATCTTGTAATTTAGCTTGTATCTTGTGATGAATGAAGAACAATATCTTGAACTTTAATGTGGCAGTATACCTTATTAAGTTTTAATTATTTTCAGTTGATGATGACCACAACTACCACTTGCCCATTCTGCCTAAAAGTGTAATAGATGAAGCAGCTGTTCAAGGTGTGTAGTCAAGTGGACTTTTTTGGCAGTGCATAAAATAATGTTTGTAGCTCAGTTTGATTTTAAACAACAATATTTGATTTACAGGACATTGCTCTAGAGACCCAGAACCTATTGAAACCGAACTCATGGCACCAAGTTCTGATCAAATTTTGCAAACACCTGGGGTTGCTAACACCAAAGGTAGTCAATTTTTTACTTTATCTTTCTGTCATACCTACTTATATAGCGCCTCCGCATGGGAGTAGCTAGTTAAAAATAAAATAAATATTTTGGGACCCTTGCGAGTCAAACTCGCACTCACACTCAAAAACTGTCTGAAGTCTATTTTATTCTATGAATGTAAGTTATATGATGATTGAAAAATCAGCCTTTATTACAAATACTTTTACCTACTGTACTTTTTTACACACAATTTTTAACTGGTTAGTTGTAAACTATGTAAAATCTTTTTTTTTCAGCCAAAAATGTTTTGACTTCCTCATGTTTCGTGAAGAAGATGAAGAAACAAGCATTATCCGTAAAAAATAAATCCTTTAATGACAGACTAGCTGGAGCTAAAACATTAAGTCAAGATAGTTCTTTTCAACGGAGTTTTAGCATGATGAATAAACATGCACAGAATTTTATCATGATGCAAATAAAATCAGTAGGTAAAAAGCAGAAAGGTGTGAGATTTACAAACGATGAAAAATTGTTGGCATTGACTCTCATGAAGGAGAGCCCTAAAGGATATAGATTGCTACAAAAAATCTTTAAACTTCCATCAAAAAGGACATTAAACCGCTTGGCTGAGATGATTACTTTTGGTGTTGGTATCAATAATAATATATTCCAACTTATTGAAAGAAGAGCTTTGAATTGGGACATAAAAAAAAAACTTTGCTCTATAGTTTTTGATGAGGTAGCTCTCACTCCTCATTTGACATATGTTGAATCGAAGGATGAAATAAGAGGATTTAAAGACTTAGGCAGTCAAACATTTCTCAATTACGCTGACCATGCCCTTGTTTTCATGCTCAGAGGACTATGTTCTAACTGGAAACAACCTATTTGCTACTATTTTTGTGAGGGCACAACATCTGCTATTGAAGTAAAAAGAATTGTGCAAGAAGTAGTAGCAAAGGTAGCAATTTCAGGGCTTGTACCAATAGCACTTGTTTGTGACCAAGGTACCACATTTAGAAGTGCTTTGAAAGGGTTGCGTGAAGATACAGAGCAAAGAAGAAATGTGAAAGGCGAACACAATGGTAAATAAGAAAAATGAAGTAGTAATATAATCAAAAAAGTATTTTTATATTTTCTGTTTATTACATACCTATTTATATTTTCAGATGGAACAATTGAAGTCTCGGGACAGAGGCTAAGTGTCATTTTTGACCCTCCACATTTGCTGAAAGGGCTGAGGAACAACTTCTTGAACAAAAATCTGATTTTTAATAATTCAATTGCAACATGGGATGATATCCTCACGGTATATAGGGCAGATTGTCAACTGGGACACACCAGGATGAATAAAAAATTAACAGACCACCATGTGATATCAGCAAAAATAAAAAAAATGAAGGTCAGTGTTGCTGCACAAGTACTCAGTGAGCAAACAAGTGCCATGCTTAAATACACTGCCTTATTTGGTAAGTACTATAAAAAAGAGTGTGTCATGCACTGTTGAAGTGAATATATTTAACTTTTTAAGCAACATTAAAAAATGGTTGCTTTTCTCAATTCAACCACATATTATAATGTTTTTTTATATAATAGAGAAATCTTTAATGAAGTATCGCACTTATTAAATATATGTCGTGGTGGCCTGGAGGTATGGTTCGAAACCAAGTACCAATGTGACTTTTTCCGAGTTATATGTATTTTCTAAGATTATTTAGACGCCACTGACAAACGATGAAGGAAAACACCGTGAGGACACCTGAACTTATTTCTAATAAGTTACATCGCCAACCCACATTGAGCAAACGTGGTGATTAATCAAACCTTCTCTGTGTGTGAAACCATTGGTCAGCAGTGGCTACTAATAGGCTGTTGATGTGATGTATATGGGCTTCTTAAAAAATACCACAGTATTTATTTCACCGCCCACAGTATTTTTATTTGCAATCTGTAACCGCGCAGGAGTAGCTAGTAAAAGATATGCCAATCGACATACAATTTGTTTTTAGTCAACTACAAATAAATATATTCTTGTATTTTCGTAAAAAGATTCTTTATATTACCCAAAATGTATAATTAGTTAGGTACTATAACATTAAAACTTCAAAACATGTTCCGTTTTCAGATACAACGGTTGGTGGTGAAAAAGTTAGTGCAACCATGAAGACAACGGGTGACGCCGTAGAATTTATGGACAAGTTGTTCGATAGCGTCAATGGAACTAAACGCAACACAAAAAAAGGCAAGCTGAGAGGACCAGTAAAACCGAATTCGAAACATTTCGAATTCTGGCGCGAGGCAACAAGCACAATAAAAAATATAAGATTTGTGGACTCAGCCAGTAAAAGAGCAAAAAATAATAAAAAAGAGTACCTTGTGCGAGTTCCTTCTCTTGATGGTTGGGTTATGACTCTGAAAAGCTTTGAGAGGATAGCCAACTTGCTGTTTACAAAATATCATTTAAAGTATTTTTATCCTGGGCTTATCAATCAAGACCCTCTTGAAAACTTTTTTGGCAGGATAAGGGCAATTAATTATAGAAATGTTAACCCTGACTGTTATACATTTGTCAATGCCTTCAAGTCATTACTTATTTCGAATGTAATGGGCCCTCACAGTATTTATTCCAACTGTGAGGATGATGATGGGAAAAATCTAATAGATTTTTATAATTTACTAAAATCAAGCGAAGAAGAAAATAAAGAAAATGTCCCATGTACAAAAAATGTAGTTAGGAATACACCAGGTGAGCATGAAAAAACTGTTGAAAAATCCCAAGAGACATTGAGGGTAACGGCTGTAAATGAAAGAGTCAGGGTTCATTCATCTGCATATACAGCAGGCTACATATGTAGAAAAATAAATAAAAAAATGAATTGCCAAGAGTGTCAAAAGACTTTAGTTGCAGAGGCACAAGAAAACTTCCACAAATGGATAATGCATAGGGAGTATAAACAATTAAAAAACAGCAATTTAGCTTACCCCTCAAAGCAGTTTTTAATATTATACAGAGATATCGCCAACCTAATACATTCATATTTAAACCAATACGCCCATCTCAAAAGTACTGGCAAAAATATAAAAAAAGAAATCAACAAAAATCTTAAATTTGACTGGCTGGGTTGCTCAAAGCACAAAAAAATAACAAGTGAATATTTAATTAGCTTGATTTTAAGGTTGCAAATTCACAACTGGTGTAATATAATTAATAAAATATTAAGAGGAGATGTGGAGGAAAAACACATTTTAAAAATGAGTAATGCTCAAATGAAAGCTCATAAAAAATATAAAATGTATAGATTAAGAAGTAAAAATAAATAATTTTAAATTACCTAATCTTTCATTTATTTTTAAAAGTCGAAGATAAAACTTAAAAGACATTCCTGAATTGTTGCTTATCGACTATGGTACATCACTAGCAATATCGATATTTATATCGATTAACATCACTAACTACGTCAAAGTCTGTGACGTCATTACATGCGATACTAGCGCTTTGAGGTAACAAGTGAAAACTAATACCAAAAAGTAGAGTGTCCCATCTGTCTCTGACTAGTATATAGTAATCTGTGTTTTGAGACGTGACGCATTTACATGTGTGACAGTTGTAAAACGGGTGAAGCCGTGGTGAAGCAAACTGGACCCATAGATAATAAATAAATGTTGCCAAGTCCGTGTATTCAAGTTCCCATATTAGGTAGTGTTAATTCATTTGTGTTGGGTTTGGTAAATAATTATACACATTCAGTAATTAATTTACAATTTAGCACAATAATTGGTCATTGTGCTTTACACAA